ACGCTGGGTCCTCCTCCTCATTCTCCTCCTCGGCAGCAGCAGCAGCCTTCGGAGACCTCCACTCCCAGGAGACTTTCGCAGGCAGGGGCAGGCGACCTCCTGGGACCTCTGGGGATCTCTTCCTCCTGCTGGAAGCGTCTGTGCGTCGGAGGTTCTCGGCGCTGGGTCGCCCCGCGAATCTGCCAGCCCAATTAGCCTTGAGAGGCCAAGGCTGAGAGAGAAGGCAGGTAGTCCTCGCCATCATTTCAACCATCATTGTCATCGGCATCGTAATCGTGCCCTGCATTTGTGCCTACATCTCTCTCTCTCTCTCTCTCTCTCTCTCTCTCTTTAATTCTGTACATGTATGATGGATATATACATACACACGCGCATGCCGTGCTTTATGTGTATAGAGACACGCTCACACTCTCGGTCATGATCATTCGCATCATTAGCATCATCAGCATTAGTACCGTCATCATCATCATCATCATCATCATCATCATCATCATCATCATCATCATCAGCAGCAGCAGCAGCAGCATCAGCAGCAGCATCATCATCATGATCATCACCAACATCATCGGCATCAGCATCAGCAGCATCATCACCATCAGCCTCATCATCATCATCACCATCATCATCAGCATCATCATCATCATCATCAACACCACCACCCATCTTCACCACCGCCATTATCTTCCATAACGAATTGGTCTTGACCTGCTTTCCGTGCTCAGGCAATCCGACAGCGCCCCCGCGAGGTTGGCAGCCCCATGCCCATGACACCTCCATCCGCATCTTCCTCTTCCTCCTCCTCCTCCTCCTCCTCCTTCTCCTCCTCCTCCTCCTCCTCCTCCTCCTCCTCCTCCTCCTCCTCCTCCTCCTCCTCCTCCTCCTCCGCCCCGTGCTGGCGGCGGTGGCCCCTGCTGGCGTGGCGGCGGCTGCGGACCGCCGGGCGGGCAGAGGGCCCCGCAGAAGCGGCGGCGCTGCCGCCAGAGGCGCTGGCCCCGCGCGGCGAGGAGAGGCTGCCGTGCTGGCGGCGGTGGCCGCTGGTGGCGTGGCGGCGGCTGCGGGGCGCCGGGCGGGCAGAGGCAGCGGCGCCGCTGCCAGAGGCGCTGGCCTCGTGCAGCGACGGGAGGCTGCTGGCGGAGGCCGCCAGGAGGGGGCTCATCGCGGCGGCGGGCAGAGAAGGGGCAGGGGCGAGGGGAGGCTGTTTTCGGGGCTGGCCTCTGGCGCGCAGTGGTCGCTGCCCGCCCACCCCCACCCTCCCCCCTCCCCTCCCTGGGTGACGGCAACCATCGTACGTGGGGGGGGGCCCTGGAGGCCTGCCCCTTCCCCCCGCGCCCAACCCCCCCCCCTCCCCCCTCCCCTCCCTAGGTGACGGCAACCATCGGAGGGTGGGGGGGGGGGCCGGGAGGCCTGCCCCTTCCCCCCCACCCTGGTGCGCGCGCACACACCACATGCTGGCGATCGCAGCGCGCCCCCGTCCCGAGGTGCCCGCCCGAGCGTTGCCGTTACCCCGCCCCCCCCCCTTGGGGTAACCCCCCCTTGGGGTAACGACAGTCGTGTCGGGAAGGTGGGGCGCCCGCGGAGTGAGTGGGCCGGCCAACTCGCCGAGCACGCTGCCACGGTTGCGGTTGGCATCCACGGTGAAGCCGATTGGAGGGCCCGGGTGAGCCGGCATGGCATGTGTTTTTGGAGCGTCCACGCGCTTTCGGCGTTTGACCTGTCGCCCCCATGCGCGCGAACGTGGTCGCGCTGCGCGCGCCGCGGCCTCGGCTCGGGAGCCCCTCGCGAGGGCGCGAAGGTAACCGCGCATCATCGCGGGGCGCGGGGGCGCGACGCGAGGCGGCCCTTGGACGAGGGCAAACCTGCCGCTCAAAAGCCCCCCCTGTGGGCGCTCAAAAGCCCTCCTCGTGGGCCCTCCCAGACGAGCCGCAAACCCGCCGCTCAGAAGCCCTGAGACGAGGCAGGGCCCCTGCCAAGAAGGCCCCTGCCCTCTCCAATGCATGGGGCCGCGCGGCTGCCTTCGCCCGGCCCCTGCTCTCTATGCCTCTCTGAGCCCGCCGCCGGCACTCCAGGAGGCCAAGTGGGTGCTCTCTGACCGCGAAGCTGCCGAGGCCACATTCCCAGGCCTCCGGCGCTGTGGCTTGTTCAACGCCAGCGCTTCTGTCCGTTGGTGGTCTCCAAACCAGGTGGTGAGACACCCGGTGGTGACCCCGATTCCCCCAAAAAATAATTCTGGGTCACCACCGGGTTTGGGGACACGCGGTCGCCACGAGGTTTTGCGTTTCCTGGGCCAGCCAGCGCTCGAAAACCAGTACCCAAATCGCCCAAAACTCACCACCGGGTGTTCTCACCACCACGTTTGGGGACCACCAAGTCCGCCATCTCGGCGTCCGGGGGCCGCTGCTCGGCTCGATAGGGGCACCAGAAGCCATGCGCAGCGGCGAACCGGTCCCGGGGGACGGCCCAGAGCTCCATGGGCCCCCGCGTTGAGCAGAGGCAACTGGAGGCGGGAGTGGGCTCGGGGCGGGATGCAGCGACCCTCAACCGCCCACTGATCGCCGAAAGGGGTCCGATCCCCCGCCCCGCCCCTCAAGGGACGTGCGGACTTGCCATGGCCCATCGCTGATCTATCGGCGATGCATCGCCGGTTCCAGCTCGACGTTTCCCACCCTGAGCCGTTCCCTCCCTGGCGTTAACCTTAGGTCGGGTTTGTCCCTCTGCAGGAGGAATATTCCCAAATAGTCAAAAATAACTAGTCGGGGGACTGTTTTTGGTGTTTGTTATGATGATATAAAATGAAGCAAGAAGTATTCTAATTTTTTCGTCCAAGATCCGCCTGTAGGGGGACATGCCCGACCTGACGTTACCCCTCATACCAGGGCCCACGCACATTGGAACAAGCAGGACGCAGGAGGTCTGGCTCGGGCGGCGACCGAAGTGTGCTCCAGGCCCACGGTGTCCCCACGGCTGCCCCCCGGGAGGTCCCAGCTGCCCCAGACGGTCCCGCAGGGGGGGGAGGAGGATGGAGGAGGAGGAGGAGGAGGAGGAGGAGGAGGAGGAGGAGGAGGAGGAGGAGGAGGAGGAGGAGGAGGAGGAGGAGGAGGAGGAGAGGAGTAGGAGGAGGAGGAGGAGGAGGAGGAGGGAGGAGGAAGAGGAGGAGGAGGAGGGACATCCGAGGCTCCGAGGTGGCCCAGACACCTCCGGCCACGGGCCACCTCTGGCCGGCACCCGCCGCATGGACCTACTACGCTCCGCTGTACCTCGCTGGCCACCCCGCGTGGTACGTCGAGCACCCGTCGCACGTGGTGCGCATGCACATGAGCGATGCAAAACAACGAGTCTGTCTGCGGCGACATTGGCGCTTAAGCTGCCCGCGAAAGGTCGCGCGGGAAGCGCCCTCGCTTCCAACGAAGCGTGCCGCGCTGGCGGCCCGCGTGAGCTGCGGCGTAGGGTCGCGGTGCCACCTCGCGCAGGGCCCGTTTTTGAGCCTCGCTCGCGTGGAGCACGAGGGCCTCGGCTTCCTGGAGGCGGCGCGCCGCATCTGGAGGCAGGAGGGCCTGGCGGGCTTCTTCGCCGGCGCCTCCCCGTACGGGCTGCGGGTGGCGCTCGTGGAGCGGCGGCCGCCCACCGCCCACGAGCTCCGCGCCGGGCTGCTCTTCTCGGTGGGCGGGCTGCGGCTCCCGGCCGCCTTCGCGGGCGCGGGCTGGTCCGTGCCGCACCTGTCGGGCGGCCAGCCGGACCTGAGGCTCACCTGGTCGGGCGCGTTCGCGTCCGGCTTCCTCGGCGCGGCCTTCTCCTGCCCCTCCGAGACGCTGATGCGCCAGAGCATCTTCTCCCACGCGGACTACGTCAGGGGCCGCGAGAGGCACTCGAGGTTCGCGGAGCAGCCGAGGTACAAGCAGGTCCTCCTGAGGTCCGTGGCGCTCGACCCGGTCCGCCCTGAGCGGTACGCTGCACCGGCGGCGCTCGCCGCCTCGTCCGACGCCCGCGCCCTCTTCAGGGGCTGGCCAGTGCACTGCACGGGCTTCGGGATGTTCTTCGCCAGCTTCTGCTGCGTCTACGAGTGGCGCACCGGCCAGCAGCCCAGCAGCAGCTGGGTTGGTGGCACATCGGAGAACCCCAAAACGGCACGTCATGAAATTCCAGACGCTTCGCGCAACCCCACCAGCCCAGCCCATCCAGAAGCGATCCCCAGGCAAGTTGCCCTGACCAGGGATGTGGAGGGGCATGCGTGAAATAAGGGGTTGGGGAAGCCGTCGTACCCCAAGAGGGGGAGGATGGAGGAGAAATCGGAGGAGGTGGAGGGTAAGGGGGCGGGCGGGACGGAGACGAGGAGGAATAGGCAGATGAGAAAGATGAGGAGGAGGAGGAGGAGGAGGAGGAGGAGAAGGAGGAGGGGGAGAAGGAGAAAGTTCGTAGAAAGAACAGCGGCCTATTGAACGCCTCTCAGGGTCTCTTCCGATATTTCTTAAGTTATGAATCTCCCTTTAAGGCATCTTCGAGGCATCTTAACGGTTACGGGAACCTCTTGGAACGTCTTGGGTACCAAGACCTCTTTAAAAACATTCTTAGGAGCCTCTTTGAGACCTCTTTGGGGGGCCTCTTGGGGCCTCCTGGGCGCCTATTGGGGCCCTCTTGGGGAGCCTTGGGGCCCCAGGGGGCCAAAATGGGCCCAACGCCTTTCTAAAATCAGTGATGTGTGCCTTCGCGCCGAGGCCTTCTGGCCTTCTTGGGCGCTCCAACGCGAACCCCCCTCTAGACCCAGGGGGGAAGGGCCAGGAGTGAACCCCTCCCCGACGGGGAAGCCGGGGGCGTGGAGGAGGAAAACCCTCCAAACCACCCACGCCACAAAGGGCTGGTGGGATTCTGGGTGTCCCCAGACATCCAACGCCTGAAACCAGCTCTGGGCCCCCCAGGAGTGTCACAAGAACGAGTCTAAAGGAACAACCGGCACCCTCGACAGTTCAGACAACCCCTGGTGCCGTTGGAGGTGCGATGCAGTGGAGACGGGCTCTGGGGAACGAGCTGGGACTCCGAGAGACCTTGCGGGTTCCTTGGGTCGGCGCCCGACCCCGCCCCTTCCCCCCTCCCAGCACCTCCAGCGGCGCCTCTGGCGCCGCCCCTGTCGCGCAGAGCGCGCCAGGTGTCAGTCAGGAGGGAAACAAAAAAACAGACACAATCAATCGTCGATGCCCTAGAAAGTTTTGGCAAATATGGGAAGAGGAGGGGATGACAAAAGCCCAGAAAATATGGGAAAGTATGGGGGATCTGTTTTTTTTGTGTGTATTCATTTGTGTATCCCAGGGCCCCTTCAGCCAGGGGTATGGGGAGCCGAAGTGCGCCTTCAGTCGGCGGTTAAAGGATGGGGTCCTGAGGGGCATGGTCACGAGGACGGAGTGTTTCAAGCAATGTAGATCCTCGCTCGGAGATCCTTTCCCATCCTCAGGGCCCCCTCCCTCTGGGCCTCACCTTCGAGCCACCCTCCGGGGGAGCAGCACGTTGCCGTGGGGGCCTCGACCTGGGTGCAGACCACGCCGTTTGACCGGCCGCGGAGCTAAGGAATTCGGCGAAGGAGTTTGGTGTATATAGACGCACCAGCGTCCGTGGCCGCTAAGATGACTTGGTGTATACGTCGAGCCCCTCTCAGCATCGACGGGGGTTGGGCTGGCCCCAGGGGCGGACGCATCGACCCACGACCTCCCGCTCCTCGCCGACAGGGGCTTGGTGGCCACCCCGCCCAGGAACGTGCGGTTTCGCTGCGGGTCGGGGGGCATATCGCCGACCCATCGGCGATGTATCGTCGAGTCAAGCTCGACGCCCCCCTCCGAGCTTGTCCCGCCGAATGCCCCCCCCCACCCACACCTTGGGAGGCGGTGGCAAGGACGCTCGCCTCTCCTCCTCCTCCTCCTCCTCCTCCTCCTCCTCCTCCTCCTCCTCCTCCTCCTCCTCCTCCTCCTCCTCCCCCTCCTCCTCCTCCTCCTCCTCCTTCTCCTCCTCCTCCTCCTCCTCCTCCTCCTCCTCCTCCTCCTCCTGGGGCCTACTCTGGGGGCAGTCTTTCGCCCTGGGCACACCCTTAAATGGCCTCTGGGCCCGATGATGGCTCCCTGGGCGCCCCAGAGTCGGCGGCACTCAAGCGGCGCAGTGACCACACCGCATGGCGAGCCAGTGGTGATCTGGGGTGACCGCACGGTCTGGGGACATGGGTCGTTCTCCGAGGACTTCTCGGGCGACTGGGGCCTCCAGGGTCCCGCAGCTGTGCGGTGACGGACAGTGCGGTCAGGTTTTCCGAAAGTTTGTGGTCACCGCACGATCTGTTACCACACTTTTTCCCGGCCCTCCGGGCTTGGGTCGTCGCCGTCCCTTTCGCGATCTGAGTTGCGCAGGTGTGCGGCGCGCGTGGCCGGACGTTGTTTGGCGACGCATGCCAGAGTGTTGCACACCTCGCAGGACCTCGCAATGTGCTCTCTTGTATGAAGCGTTCACATAACGTGTTACGAGTCGCCTCACTCACCGCCCACCAAACCACCCCAACCCGACCCGAAGGCCCCGATTTGACCTCCATTTCCAGGGGGGGGGGGGCTCGGGGAACACGGGAAAAACACACACGAAGCCCGACCCCCCCCCCAACCCGAAGTTCGGGTCTTCGGGTTGGGTTGGGGTGGCTTGGTAGATAGCCACTCACATGGAGAAGGGGTTGGGTACGTCTCGGGCAGGTGTCGAACTCCAGCAAGGCCACGTGGCAGGGAGGCAGGAAAGGGAGGGCGGGGCAGTGGGAAGGGAGGGTCCCGGGGCGTGCGGCTCGCAGCAGCCCGGCCGCGGGCACGTGTTCGTCACCGCGTTTGTTGCGGCCGTGCGTGCGTGCGTGCGTGCGTGCGTGCGTGGGCCAGGCGGCCCCAGCATCGAGCCGACGGTTCACATCGGATGGAACCGCCCACGGAATCGACGGACCTCGGCGGGGGCGGCAGGCGTCGGCCGGGCAGCGGCCGAGGGTGGGAGGCGCCCGCGCGGGCAGACGGGCAGGCTGGGCGGCGCACGCAGTCTGCGGATCGAGTGCGGAGGCTGCGCCGCTCGAGTCTCCCGCCATCAGAAGAGCATCTGAGAATGTTGGCCAGCGTTGGCCCAAACAGCAAGTGGTTGCCCTGCGGGTGTGCAGGCTGTGATGGTGCGCGCTCTGTGGTGCAGGCTACGCGGTGCAGTACACACGCGGTGCAAGCTAGAGGCGGCGACGTGGCGGCAACGGGCGGCAACGTGGCGAAGCCTTCGTCGGACCCACCCAGCGCACGATGCGGCAACGAGGCGGCAACGGGCAGCATCGTGGCGAAACCTCGCTGGGCCCATTCAATTTCACTTGGCGTAAGAAAGAAGCTTAAAGTGCAAGCACTGTTTGTTTGGGGACAAATGCCGATGCCGCTGTTTGGGGTTCCCCAGCGTGGCACCACGTGCTGCAGAGCGGGTCGCTCGCGATCCTGGCGGGCTCGTGCGCGATGCTTCCGTTTGACGCCCTGAGGGTTCACGCGCACCGCGCCCACGCCGAGAACCCGGCGGCGTTGCTGCGCGGCGGCCAGGAGGCAACTCCTGGGAGATCCGATTCAGCATCGGCGCTGACACACCGGAGGAGGTTGGCACACACGTTAAGACAGCTTGCTATCAAACCTGCGGGCGCATCCTTCGTCGATCCTGAGGTTCGCAAGGTGCCCCCAGACAGACTCGGTGAGCCCGTCGGGAGATGAGAATCCACGGTGGGGCACTCGTCGGCAGACCAGCTCCTGAGTTGGTGCGCCTACTGCATTCATAGTCAAATAGGCGCAAACCGGCACAATTCATCCCGCTCAGTCGCGCTCAATCCAGCTGAATAGGGCCTACTACTATGCCCAATCTGGACTCTTCCGGCTCAACGGCTTCTTGAACGGGCTCAATCGCCTTTCACCGTTCTGTCGAAGACTTCACAGGATTTGCCTCCTAACGGTGGGGGGGGCAGGGCGACTTCCCGCGTGAGGCCTACCGCAGACGGAAGCCATGAACGCGAGTCAAATTCGTCATTTCGGATTTTGGCCATTTGAAAAGAATGGGCGTGGGTCGGGCAGCAACGGCCGAATGTCGAAACATGGTGCACAGTATCCGCACTTGTTCTTGTCATTCTAAGCGGCGGCCGCCGCTCGTGCTCAGCTGAGCACCTGTGCCCCTTGAATGGCGGAATTCCAACTTCCTGCATCGGTTTCGCGTCAGTGCGTTCCATCCACGGCCGGGGCTTGCTGATATCATGGCCAGGCCCGCGAGAGCTCCCGAGCTTCGCGCCCACACCGTCTATCCATGCGCCTCGCGGCCACCTCCTCATCTTCACATACGCCTCGGGCCACGACTCGCGGCGTCCTCCGCTCCCTGGTCGCGAGGAGAGTACGCGGCGCGGCGACGGGTTCCAGTCCCGGACATGCTCGCGTCGTACAGCAGATCTGGACGGGCAGTCTTTGGCTACTTTCGGCCCGGGGGGGGCCCTCGCCGGGCCTCGGGGCCGCCAAGAAACGACTCAGGGCGACAAGCCGGTCCCGGGGAAAGGGCCGGGACTTCCAGGGACGCCGTCCTGACAAAGTCAGGACGTCGCAGGCCTGGGCTTGTGCGAACGCCTCTGGCCCGAGACCCCTACCTCAGGAGGCCTCTGCAGGCCTCCCTGGGGGCCTCGGGAGCTCCGCCCGGCCGGGCCCCCCCGGGGCACCGCCCCCCCTCGAAGGGGTCGTTCGTTCGAAGGGAGGCCGGAGGGCCTGTGAGACCCCCTGGCGCGGTGTCTCTCCAGCAGCTCCGCCCGAAAAGGGATTGGCCGCTCGGAGAAAAAGAGGAAGCCATGGCCCATGGTTTCCTCTTTTTCTCCGAGCGCGGTGCTCGTGGAGAGAGTTGCAGAGTGAGGAGCGCTTGTCGTGTCATATTACAAAACACGTGCAGCGACTTTTTGGGTATTTCACTGAATTGTTAGTCAACAGTTCAATTTCAGGGATTTCAATTCCGTAGTTAATCTTGTACTCAAATGTCGGGGGAGCGTAAGACCCGGGTTTGCCAGGACTCGGGTTCGCCATCGTTTTTTGACGACCGCGCCTCGGATTTTGACGAGGAGGAGTTTCGTGGGATGTCTGCAGCGGGAGGCCTCGTCAAAATGCAGGCTCGGCCTCGTCATTTTTTTGACGACCTCGTCGGGGATTTCCGAGTCTCCCGTACCCGGGTCTTACGTCTCCCCGAAAATGGGAGAGACACCCCCAGGGGGGTGCCACTCGGACGCACCGCTGGCGAGGAGGGACGCCCCCCGTGGTGTATCCCAGGGGGTGGGCCCAGGAGTTCGGGTCCGTGCCCAAAGCCACGACGCCCGGGGCAGGGGCCGACGGGTCGACGTGTCCCCTGCAAATTATGGCGCTGCGAGCACACCACGGCGGGCGACGCTTGTGCACGAGCTGCGCCTTCCATGGATGCCCTCCACGGGCCCCGGGGCCGTCAAGAAAGACGACCAGCGGGATGCAACACCGATCGATCGGGGAAGGGGTCCAGACCTTTGAGCGTCGACGCGCTGAAAAGCACGACGTCGGAAAAAGACAGCCAGCGGGATGCAAAACCGATCCCGGGGAAGGGGTCCAGACCTTTGAGCGTCGACGTGCCGAAAGCACGACGTCGGAGATCTAGCTCCCTTTTGCAGAGGTCGGCCTCCTTTGTCACCTCTTTTGTGGACCTGCGGAGGCTTGCCTCGATGATGATGCTGAGGAGGAGGAGGAGAAGGAGGAGGAGGAGAAGGAGGAGGAGAAGGAGGAGGAGGAGGAGAAGGAGGAGGACCAGTGGAAGCCCCAAACTCATCAACGAGATTGGAATGAACCCTCCCTCCACGCTTCTTCCTCATAGGCCCCAGGGTTCATTTCCATTGAGGGAACTGCCTCGGATGAAGACAACCGTTTGAAGACCCTAAGGCGTACCAAAACATCATTCTCTCGAATCCAACACCACGAATCAACATGGCTGTTGCGCCTTGACGGTCCTGAATCGTGCCAGACCCCCGTTCATGGGACTTTAGCACCGCGCATAACTTAATTTTTGCACCCTCACAATCCTGAGTCCTTTCGAAACACCATTTCTGGCACGTCCACCATGGGAACCCTGAAACTTTTTGCAAATATTTACGAAGAATGCGCGCGGCGCTAAGGCGAGAGTCATATGTTGAAAAGGAACCGCCCGAAATCCGTAAACAAATTGCGAATGTTTGAACCGAACGTGCGCGGCGATAGGGCGTGAGCCACATTTTGAAAACGACTGGTCCTCAACCCGTGAGATTCATGCAAATGTTTAAAACGAATGTGCGCGGCGCTTGAGCGAGAGCCACATTTTGAAACCCACCCGCCCTCGATCCGTGAAACTCGTGCACACTTTAAAAACGATTGTGCGCCGCGCTGATGCGAGAGCCACATTTTGAAAACCACCCACCCTCAATCCGTGAATGTGTTGTCAGCTTCTAAGTTTCGGGGTCATAAGCGGTCTCAGGCGAAACGCCCGGCCCGCCCTTTCGACCGGCCTCGGGGTGCCACATGGAGAAGGTATGTAAAAGGGGAAGGAGGTGATGATGAGGATGATGATGATGGTGGTGGTGATTCTGATGATGACGATGAGGATGATGATTTTGGTGGTGGTTGTGGTGGTGGTGAAAATGGTGGGGATGATGATGAAGAGGATGATGATGATGATGATGCTGATGATGATGATGATGATGCTGTTGATAAGTATGAGGATGATGATGATGAAGGTGATGATGGTGATGGTGATGATGATGGTGATGATGATGATGATGATGATGATGATGATGATGATGATGATGATGTTTATTGTTGTGGCCTTGGTTCCCCTGGTGGTTGCCAGTTGTTTGACACGAGCTGTTCGGTTCGGCCTGCCGCTCTCCGAGGGCAGGCCGCGGTCTCGCGGGGAAAGAAGGCCCCCCCGAACCGATCGAAGACCTTCGGATCGGAGTCGGCCAGGACCCCAGGCAAGGGGAGACGCTTACTCCAGATTTCGTAATAAAGGGAGGGGGGCCTCATTTCGGGGAGGGTCTTTTCCAAGCTATCTTGGAGGGCCTGGCGGGGTCTGGGGACGATGTTTTGGAGGGTTCTCCCACGGGGGAGGTCTGAAATGGCTGGTCTTGGAGGGTCCAGACCCCCTCCCTTTTATTACGAAATCTGGAGTAGAGCTTGGGCCCCGAAGCCAGAAACATGTGCCAACCTCACGAAACCGCGTCTGCCGTAGCTGGTGCTTCTTCGGATGACGCCAGTTCCAGTTCGTGGAACGGGGCGGGGGGGGGGGGGACGTCACCCGGCACGCATCACTAGACCAAGCCTCGGGGCCTAAGAGACGGGGGTCAATGCAAACGAGGGTCAGCGACAGCGCCCGATGTTGCAGGATCCTGCAGGGCCAGGGTCGCACTGAACCGGGCTTGGGTGCAGGATGCTGCAGGATCTTGCAGGATCTTTCGCATTGACCCAGGGCTGTGTGCAAGATGTTTTGCAGGGTCTTGCAGGATTCTGCAAGGCCTGACTGACCCTGGTCTGGATTGACCCGGGTCAGGAGACCCCCGCCAAGCCTTACGTCGGGCCCGTCCCTCCACAGGAGGAATATCCAAACATAGTCAAAGAAATAGTCTGGGGACAGTGTGTTGAGCATTTGTTGGCTATGTTTGGCTATGTTTTGACTGTTTTCCACTTTTCGTCCAAAAATCCGCCTGTCGGGGGGACACGTCAGACCTAAGCCAAGCCTTCGGCTTAGCCCCACCGCTCGGAGGCCACCTCCTCGAAGGCAGCGGCCCCGCTAGAGGCCGTGCGCCCCGCGCCCTCCCAGGCGCCAGCGTTCAGTGGGGCATGTCCCCCTCCAGGAGGAATCCTCAACAGCAGTGGAAAAAAAACCGTCGGGGGACGATTTCTTGAGCATCTTGTGGGAAATTTCTTTGGTACTTTTGAATACACATATATATATATATATATATATATATGTATATACACAAATACGAAGGGAAAATAGACGTGCAACATCAAAATCTGCCTGTATGGGGGACTCGCCCGAGCTGAAGCCAGCGGGGGCGGCCTCGGCAGGCCGCCCCCTGGCCCCCCTCGCCGTCAGAGACCGCGCCGCGCGCCGCCGGGGGCAGCTTCCGCACCGCGCTCTGCCCGCCTTCTTCTCGGGCGTTGCTAGAAGGCTCTCCCCCAGAAGGACGAGGAGGAGGAGGAGGAGGAGGAGGAGGAGGAGGAGGAGGAGAGGGAGGAGGAGGAGGGGACGGGGAGGAGGGAGGAGGAGGGGAGGAGGAGGAGGAGAGGAGAGGAGGAGGGGAGGAGGAGGAAGGGAGGAGGAGGGAGGAGGAGAGGAGGAGAGGAGGAGGAGTGGAAGGAGGAAGGAGGAGGGGGAGGAGGAGGAGGAGGAGGAGGGGGAGGAGGAGGAGGAGGAGGAGGAGGAGGAGGAGGAGGAGGAGGAAAAGGACCCCCACGCGCGAAAACGAGGCAGAG